CCGGGTCCCGTCCCCGAAGCCGCCCAACGCCTCGCACCGTCTGTCCCGGATGGCACCCCGACCCCGTCCTGTCCTCGACGCCGCCCCTGCCCACTCCCCATACCCGGGCGTTCATGGCCTTGTGGTTCTTCTTGGTCTTTTTGAGGAACTGCTTGAGGCTGCCCGAGGACACGTACTCTGTGATGAAGATGACCTACGGGGCAGACAGGCTCTCAGGCCCCACCCCCGCGGGCGGGTGCCCAGGACGCCCACCTGCTGGTGCCCGCCAGCCCCGCTGAGCCTGGGCTCACCCGCGCGCGGGCCTCGGAGGCGTCCAGCCAGTACTTGTGCAGCTTCACGATGTTGGGGTGGTCAACCAGCACCAGCTGCTCAAACATGGTCTGGATCTTCTCCTGGGAGTGTGTGGGGGGAGCGCGGTCACGAGGCGGTCACGGGAGGTAGGGTGGCAGGGGCCCGGCGGGCCTCACCTCGTGCGCAGAGAAGGCCTTTCTGTCGCTGAAGTGCAACTCGTTCCACACGACCTCCACTCCCTCCTCCGTGTCCATGGCCAGGAAGGTGCTCTGGACCCCGGGCATGTTCCCCTGGTTCACCTGGCGGTGGTGGGGATGTGACTGTGCAGAGGCGTCACGGGAGGCAGTGGGGGCTTAATCTCTGTGTGTTCCCCTCCCGCGGGCGCCAGCCTGCGATGGAGGCCCCGGCCCGCTGCGGGGAAGCTGAGCGCATCCAGAGGCTGGGCTGAGGGGATTCGGGGCTGTTTCAGGGGCGGAGGATGGTCCCCAGGGGCTAGTGGCTGGTTCCAGAGGCACCGGGACGTGGTCTTGCCAGACTGGCCTTGAGGGAACCAGAGTTCCTCACCAGGGCATGGGGGCCAGGCTAAGGGGATGCAAGAAGGGGGTCGCCCACTCGAGGCCGTGGAGAGGTTTCGGGTCTCCTGCTCGCCCAGCGGCCGCCCCCCATCGTGCCCACCTGCTCCCGCCGTTTCTGCCAGCGGCCGCACGGGCTTTCTTCCAGGATGTCGCTCTCGTCTTCGCTCTCCTCCTCCCGCTCCCGCTCCCGCTCCCGCTCCCGGCCCCGCCTGGGCGCCGGCT